AGACAGGCTTTCCCGATTCAGTTAACAGACTCTACAACAATGAAGTCGCATTCCTAGAATCTCTGCGGGATCTGTTTCTTGACCTGGCCTACCTTGAAGGGCTGACAGAGGGAACCACCCTAAAATGTATTTATTTATTTATATTTTATTTATTTCTATATCAAATTTGTCACTGCCCGTCTCATTAAAAGTGACTCTGGGCAGTTTGCAGAGGAGATAAAATGAATTAAAATACAATATAAAAACAGTCTTCAATAAATAATAAATACATTTCAAGAAATGATGGCATTGCCAAATAGCTCAGGGAGTGTCATCAGGATGCCAGCCACCCCGAGGACTGGGGGTTGATGAGAACTCTTATCACCCCATGCAAGCTGGAAAATTGTCAAAACAGCGGTAAGATCCAGCCTGGGCTACTCTGTAAACGGGGCTGCTCCTTGACCGTTATTCAGAATTTCAGGTGATTCGGAAAAAGGGCAGCCAAATCACTGATCAAAACTGGATTGGATTGGACCTATTTGCTTATCTCAAGCCTTCCTACTCTGGTAATATTTTCAAGACAGCTAACAAAATTAAAATTAATCATACTAAAATCATTTAACACTTGCAAGCCTGCTGAAAGATTTTCGAAAAACAGAAGAGCAGAAGCCAAACGCAAATCCCAAGGGAGTGAGTGGTGGAGTTGTGGAGTAAAGCAGTGCCAGATCCTTCCCCATGCCAGGAAAAATGGGCCCCTGACAGTAGGGGAGTTTTCCGGCAGACTGTAATATCTAGACAGGTTCACATCCCTTAAGTTGTCTGTTCCTAACCCTTCAAAAGTCAGTACCGAGACATTAGTTGTGCCTGGTAAGCAACCGCTGTGACTCTTTTAGCGCAGGCATCATGTGAGTCCCGCGCTGGCATCAGTTTGCAGCCCAGGGGCCACATTTTGCATCCACTGCAATCCTCAAAGGGCACTGAGATGGTCAGGTGGGTTGCAATCTGGCCAAAGCCGATAAGGAAGCATCACGAAGCAACACTGTGCAGAAACGCCTGAGGATCCAGTAAGAGCTGAACACCAAGGACTCCAGGACTGTGCACCCACAGGCCCATCCCAAACAGGCTAAATCCCAATGCCCAAGTTCCTGTCTACCAGCAGCACTTCCATCTGGCCTGGATTTAATTTCAGCTTGTTCTCCTTCACCTAGCCTGTTATCAACCTCAAGCAGCATTCACAGGTACCAACTGCTTCCACAGAACTGGATGATTAACACCACCCTAAAACTCTGGGTCAACCCCCCCAACAATTCCATGAGCAGCAGGGGGAGGGGGCAAGGTGGAACCATGTGGGGAGCAGAGGTCAACAACTTAGATGTTGACCAGTTGCCCCCAGCATCACCCTTGGACAAGGCTTGACCAGCAGGACAGAGACCACTGTCACAAGGCCCAAAAAGATGTCATGTCGATGGTATAGAGAGCCGTTGAGAGGCCCAGGAGAATGAGCAAGACTCCACAGCCTCAGTAGCATCCCAGATAATCATAGAAGCTCAGGGCATACAAAATACCATCTCGTCGAACAAATAAATATCCTTCCTTCCTTCCTTCCTTCCTTCCTTCCTTCCTTCCTTCCTTCCTT